TGCATGTTTGCTCATGTAAATAAATTAAAGAGCAACAGATAACAAGAAACAGAGATAGATGTTTTACAAATGGGAAGGGGACTAAGAGATAGAGGGGAAGAGGAGAGGAGAAGTAAAAAGAATTAAGATGCATTGTCTACACATACCAACTCCCCACGATGAATATAATCATTATGTGCTGCAAACATGTACTAATAAAAAATAAACATAAAAAATAAAAATAAATTTAAAATTTTAAAAATAAATTTCACTGTTGATGGGTAGTTAATGTAGTTTCTGATGGGGGGGCTGATGTGAATATTCTTAAATATGTATTTTGGTGAACATATTCACTTAACTGGATTTTACTTAATTGGGAAATTTCTGGGTCATGGGTTAGGTACATGGCTTGAGTAGATACTACCAGACACTTTTCTAAAGTGATTTTATTAATTTACATCTCCTTCAGCACACATAAGAGATCCAATTGCTCCATGTTTTCACCAATAGTTGCCATTTTCACCCTTTTAATTTTAACCATTTTAGTAAGCTTAAAGTAACTCTGAAGGAAGAGAATCAAACAGAGAAAATCAAATAGGAGAGAGTCAAACATACTTGTCATCCTTCAAAATTCCCAAGGCTACTATGACCATACTTTCCTCCCAAACCATAGTTTTTATGCAGATTGTGCCATTTGCCCCCACTATTCTTCTCATTAGCAAAATTAGTCTGCCATCTTTTCTGCCCCACCTCCACAGCAGAGAAGGTTCTTTAACTTACTCATACACATTATTATGTCCTGGGAGAAAGATGAACGGAAATGGAAATAAATTCATTTTTAAAACATACTGATGTCAGAGCTGTAGAATGAAATTCTGGGATTAAGAATACTTGACAGCTAGACACAGTGGTGCACACCTATAATACCAGATACTTGGCATGTTGGGGCAGGAGGATCACAAGTTTGAGGACAGCTTGGGCAACTTAGGAAAACCCTATTTCAAATAATAATCATAATAATAATAAGGACTGGGGGTGTAGTTCAGTGGTAGAGCACCCCTGTTATACATCTCTAGTATGAGAGAGAGGGGAGAGAGAGAGAGAGAGAGAGAGAGAGAGAGAGAGAGAGAGAGAGAGAGAAAGAAATAAGAAAGGGAGAGAGGGAAGAAAAAGAAAAGAACTCTGGAACACAACCATAAGACATAGGATTCATGTTCTGTGCATGGAAAATCAGGCCTTCTCAGGCAGATACTTAGGCTGGCCTAATGGCTTGGCCAACATAACAGAGAAAAAAATTGGAATTCCTGATCTATATGATTGCTCCAGACATGGTACGTTAGTAGTAGTTTTCTTATTATAAGGTACCTAGGTATCATAACTTCTTGACTCTGTAGACAGCTTAAGATTTTCAGAAGAAACAGTAGTGATAGAATTTAGATGTCCAGAGAACTGTTTTACTCCGTGGGTACATCATGCCAATCTCCAATAAACAATATACATATAGAATGCTATATCTTGGTATCTTTGGCTTCTACATTTATCTCTGGGGGTGGCAATCACAATAACTTATGGATGGGTATTCGTTGTTTAATGTTAAGTTGCCAGTTATCTGTCACTTGCAACACTAGCACCTTTTATCTCTTGAAGAGCATGCCTCATCTTGTAGTAGATACATATCCATTTCACTTGTTTATTGATTCATCATTCATTCATTCTTTCAGTCGTCTGAGATTTTATGGGAGATGTAAAACATGATCTCTGACCTCTAAAAGTTCAGGCGCCATTTCAAAGAAGTATAGATGGGAATGGGACAAACAGGCTATTTCAATACACTCTGATGAGAGCTATGGTGATAACACATATCTAGTGGATGCGTAGAAGGAGGGATAGATCAGATGGAGTTGTGGGAAGAAGATGGTGTCTGAATTGAATATTGTTACTGATTATATTTAGGTGCCCCCCCAGCCTCATATGCTTTTGGGATCATGAGACCATGATACTCTTCAGTGGATTAGTCCATTGATGATTTTATAGCTAAATATGATGTTGGGAGGTGAAACCTGGTCACAGGAAGTGGGTCACTGGGGTCGTGGCCTGGAAGGTCTATCTCCCTCTGTTCTCCCTTGATTTCTCTCTGCTTCCTGCCTGCCATGCCATGAGCAATTCTCCTCTGAGATGCCCCTCTGCCAAGCCACCTTGCCTTGGAGCCAGCCAACTATGGATTGAAACCTCTACAAGCTGTGAGCCAAAATAAACCCCTCCTCTTTTTTTTTTTTTTTTTCCCCAGTACCGGAGATTGAACTTGGGCCCTTGCGCTTGCGAGGCAGGCAGCGGAACCACTGAGCTAAATCCCTGGCCCAACCCCTCCTCTTTTAAATTGTGGGTGTCAGGTATTGTGTCTCATCAATGAAACAATAAGTAAGTAAGACAAATGTGCAATCAGTAAGTTTAGTTAGATAAGTTTAGTAAGTATTGTTATGTGTATGGGGACTCATAGAGCTTTGACAATACACCCAATCATTAGTCAATGAATTTTCATATTGGGCCACTGTTCTAAAGGAATACTGGCTATGAAATCCTCATGCTGGAATTTTTGCCCTCCATGCCACTGCTTGCGGTGGGCATCACCTTGTTATTCTCACATAAAAGAGACAGCACGTAGATGGTTCTCATGAGTTATGTTTCATAGGATTGCTTTTATTTAACATCACTATTTTCAAAGTGCTTTTGCTGCTCTACATATGATAAACAGCAATATATTACTCTCCACAATTTTCTGGGTTGGCTGGGGCTTAGCTGGGCAGTTCTTACATCAGTCTTACCTATGACTCTCTAATATGGTAGCATTCAGATGGCAGCTAGGGTGAGAAAATTCAGACTGGTGTCATTTCCACATCTGGCCTGTTGGTGGGGAGGATAGGAAGGCTGAGCTCAAGAGAAGGCTGGGATGACTGGGCTTTCTCTTTCTCTGTAGTGTCAGGTCTCTCCCTCATCATGTGGCCCCTCCATGTGGTCTTTTCCCATGGTATCTCTAGCAGAGTAGCTGGACTTTTTATGTGGTAACTCAGGGTTCCTAAAAATATCAACATGGAAGCTGCCAGATTTTGTGCCATGTTCAATTGATTGAAGAAAGTGACCAGATTCAACATGGGAGGGCTATATGAGAGAGTAAATGCCAGAAGGTATGGTTCATAGGACATCTTTGGACACTAGCTATCACGTGGAAATTTACAATATGTACCAGAAAACATCATTTTTTTTTCCTTTGCTCTTTTTGAAGAGACAGGGTATCACTATGTGCCCCCAGCTAGCCTTCAATTCTAGGGCTCAAGGAATCTGCCTGCCTCAGCCCTCCAAGTAACTGGTACTATAGGCACATACCAATGTATATGGCTCTGTTTTTATTTAAGAACATATTTTCTCAATTTGTTTCTGCTATTTATCAAAAAATATTTTTGGACATCAACTTTAGATATAGTAGAAATTAATAAGGTAATAGGAATTTGGTAGGCATTTGGAGCCATCTTCTAAAATGGCTCCCAATGATCTCTGCCCCCTAATATTCATGCCTTTATGAAAGCTCCTCTTCTGGAGTGCAGGCTGAATCTAATGACTTGCTTCTAATGTGTAAAATACAGCCAAAGTGAGGGTATGTTAGTTCTAAAGTTGATATTAAAAGACTGTGATTCTGTTTACTTACACTTTCTACATGGTGCTCTCTCTTCCCTTCTTGGCCTGCCAGCTGCGTTTGTTTCTGGGGTTGCTGTAACAAAGTACCACAAACTGGGTGGTTTAAAAAACAGGAATTTATCATCTCATAGTTCTGTGGGCTAGAAGTCTGAAATCAAGGTATCATCAGGCTGGTTCCTTATGAGGGCTGTGTGGGGGCATCTGTTCCATTCCTATCCCTTACCTTCTAGAGGTTTGTCAATAATTTCTGGCATTCTTTGACCTTTTTGCTCTCATGGCATTGTCTCTTTGTACATGAATCTGCATTCGAATTTTCTCTTTGCATAAATATACCAGTCATATTGGGTAGGTTCCACCCAAAGAATTTCATTTTAACTAATTTTATTTGCAAGAGCCCTATTTCCAAAAAAGGAACATTCTGATACATGGGGGTTAGGGCTGCAAATTGAAAACTGGGGGAAAGGGGTTATAATTAAAATGATAACACTTGCCTTGATGAAACACAAAGGAGAGGCCCATATGGCAAGGACTGAGTGTGACATTAAGTCCACATGGCTCAGGGAAAGAATAGCAACCATGGACAGAGAAGCCAGCTCCTCTTCACTTGGCATTTTGGTAGCAGAACAATTTAAGTGGTAAGGTTTTGAATGAATGGGGAGGTAGGTGCTCTAATTAACAGTTAGAAAAACCAAGGAGATAATAATATGTGTAGCTAAAGTGTATTATGGTTCTAAATTCAGTATTTCTATATTGCCCCAATTTTGTAAAGGTATATACATGTGCATACACACACACACACACACACACACACACACGAAGATACCTTCCAATATTTTCATAGTAGTTAACTATAGTTATGGAACAACAAGATTTTTTCTTCTCTGTGTGTATTCTGTTTGTTTGTTTTGGGTTTTTTGAGACAGGATCTCGCTTTGTAGTTTAGGCTGGCCCTGAACTCACTATGTAGCCCAGGTGGGCCTTGAACTCACAGTAATCCTCCTACCTCTGCCTCCCAAGTGCTGGGATTACAGGTCTCAGCCACCACACCAGGCTTCTTCTCTGTGTTTTGATGCAGCACAGGGAGGTTGTGGAGAATTTGAAGCGTTTTAGTTCCTAACTTTGATATGGAAGGTGGTTATGATAACTCCCTTCCCTTCTCTTCCTCTCCCTTCTCCTTCCCTTCCCTCCTTCCCTTTCTTCCCTCCCTCCCAGAGGATTGATCCCAAGAGCTGTGCACATACTAGTCAAGCACTCTACCACTGAGCTGCATCCCTAGTTTGGAAGGGTAGGAATAAAACTCAACTCAAGTAAAATCTTATTTATAGTCCCCACCCCCTTTTAGAGTAAACATGATTTTAGAACAATACAGAGCCAAGAGATGCTCTGGGAAAAGGATAGAGGGCAGTAATTTTCCACAAAAGCAAAAATGTGTATTGTGCAGGGTGCTGTCTAGGTCTGTTTTCTGTTGCTATGGCAGAATACTTTTTCTCCCCAAAGATGATGACGGTTTCTTGTTTCACTTACATGAGCTTCTTTTTTTCTCTCTAGACAAAGATGGGGATGATGATTCACTAGTCTCAGCGGCTCTATGAAGGCTTTCAGGAGTGGCTTCCATTTGTTGCATAAATGTAAGGTCCCAATAGTCATAATAAGATGTCCTTCTCCTATGTGGCTTAACAGCAGTTTCTTGAGCTTATTTGTGGACATTCTAGGGAAGAAATATACAATTTTCATGAAGAGGTGAGAGCTTTCTGGAAAAAGTGAGACCAACACACTAAGCTGAGCGACTGAAATGTGTTAGGAAACCTGTCCGGGCAGCCCCTCAAGTTCTGCTGGCAGGCAAGGCACCAATTGCCACAAAGGGAATACTCCGCAGGGCAGGAGTATTCTCAGCTGATAACTCAGGCTTGGCCCAAGGAACTCAGAGTTTGGGCATGGAGGTGAATTATTTCTACTTCAGAGTGTGCTTAAATGCCCAAACACTCAAAGCCCGATAACTATGGGTTATAACATTGGAGCCTACATATGACTCAAGAGAGCTTTAATGTGGAACACAACTGTGGGTCATTGTCAGGAGCCGCCAAGATCAGGAGGTGTCTTGCCCGCCTCCTGCACTTCATGACTTCCCTCCCTTTGTGCCCGAGTTACCCTGCCAAAATAGATAGCCTGGAGTGCAAGAAAATGTTCCTTGTACTCTGATTATTGTAGACCTAGTTGACATGGTCCTAGGAAAAGCAAGCTGGCATGTCCCTGTTCCCACCAGCCTTAATGGTCAGCTAGTCTCAGAATGTATTAGAACAAATTACCAAGGGCACCCTGCCCCCGCCCCATCTCCTTGTTTGTACTTCCCCTTCTCATGCCTTAAATAAAGTGACTTTCTGGCCGAAGCAGTCTTTGCTGCTCAGCAGGTGGGGAGGCCCCACCCGGCTTAGTTCTCTTTTGTTTTCTGCATCTTCGGTCGCCCTACTCAGACCCTGGGCCCTACTCAGACCCTGGACCCTTGCCGTGCAGGCCGCGGCAGATCATCTGCTTAAGCTGGTCTGTTTGATCCAGCAAAGATATCATCAACTGGACTATGGTACTGAGACAGCCTCATGGGGTCAGAGCCATGTCTAATGTATTCCTCCCTATATCCTGGTGCCTAGCCCAGAGTCTGGTATATCAAAGGTGCTCTGTAAATATTTCAATATAACGTATGCTAAATAAAAGACTCAGGATCCAAATTTAGTTACAAAACACTATGGTAGACTCCAGTCTCTTTCTCCTTGGTATTTGGAAAACAGAAGTGCTCCGTGTTTGACTGAGTTCTTGGACTATTTAGGTGGAGGACAGAGAGAGTTCTTGAAAGGAAATACTCTAGTTCTTGTGTATAAAGATAAGTTGATTTTCAATTAATTGACTGGGAAAATTAAAGAAATATGACTGTATTTATATTGTAAATAGGTAGAGCAAGTCTAACTAGTTGTAGAAGATATTATTTTATGTATCTGAATCATGTAGATCATAGTGGACAACTGCAAATTCCTGATTCCCTCAGAGGACATGCCTGAACAAGTCTTATTTTGAGTGAATGACCTAATACATATATATCAACTTTCTATGTTAAAAGTAGCTTCTCACTCCAAAATGGGTTCAAATTTTATACTTTCCAGGTATAATGAGAAACTCAGCATTTTCCCAAATCATATCTCATATTTCTGGCTGAAAATCAGAGGTAGCAAAGATACAGAAGACAGTATATATTACCTGGAGCCAATATACTAACAATGACTTTTGTGTAAATAATTCAAATAAAATATTAATTTTAATAGTGTTGCGTGAGTTTTTGTGGCATTATCATTACTATTTAAACCACTCATACAAACAACTTAGGTGCTATATGTGAATGTATTTTTTATAAATTAACAACTATGGGGTAAATAATATTTTCACAAATTAAATTAGAAATGAAGTAGGAATGTTTCTTATTTAAAGAAAATTTTCAAAAAAATTCGTGGTGTAATGAGTTTTTACAATCTGATGTTAACATTTGATTTTTCATTTGTGTTGCATTCCAAGGTAGAAAACGTTCTGGATTGCTTTGGTCAGGTTGACCTTGATTGGAATCCTGGTATTGACCCTTGGTTTGTTTACCTGCAAATAGAGATAAAAGTTACCTGGTTTTAAAAGTTGTTCTGAGGATTTTTCATAAAGCGCACTATTTCTACTGGGGATTTAACTCAGTGGTTCTGCTGGCTGCCTCACAAGTGCAAGGTCCCAAGTTCAATCCCCAGTACCAAAAAAAAAACCAAACCACACTATTTGTTACATAAGAGATAGTCAGTAACTATTAGCTCTCTTTTAGGGAAAACTCTTAATTCCTAGCCCTTGAGCACTGCTGGTATCAGAGCACTGCGGTTTGTGCTAAAAAGAATTCAAGAGCTTCACAATGTTTTGCTTTTGTTTTTATCCTCTCCCTGCTCCAATTTCCACCAGGTCTACTTTCCAATGCCATGGCAAAGATCAATGAGAATAATACTTACTAGCTGGTGTCCGTATCTGAAGCGATGTCAAAGAATGGGTCTTCCCTACATTGAACTTGGAAATTATTACCATTATCTTTGGTATAATAAATGATTGTCCCCATTTTTTTTGTGCTTCCCTGTCTCTATACTCCTTGTCATGTGACTTTGCAGTCCTTTCCACAAAAGGACCATGTATTTCCCCTTCCTTTGACTTTGGACATGACACTATGACTTACTTTGGCATGTCAACAGATGTGATACACACAGAGGCTTAAAGAGTGTTTGTGCAGAGGGGTTTGTGCTTTTGCATTCTGTCATTGACATAAGAATCTTCCAATATGGGTATCTGCTTCCTCCACTCTAGTTTCCAGAATGAAAAGACTGTGAACAGAGATCTGAGATGACCAGATCCATAGCTTGACTAGAGCTGTTTGCTGAGTCCATCCTGCATCTATTGACTTCTAGTTAACCTGCAGACATGAACAAATAGAAATTACTGATTTAAATCATGAATTTAGGGTAGTTTGTTATATAATAGTAGCTGACTAATACACTCTATTTTGTGGAACAGAAGTAGAGAAAAAAGAATGCTTCTCTTCATAGGGATTCATCTGTGACAAAGGAAAGGCTGCTACATTAGGGGATGGATGTGGAGTGACTGTGAGACTACGAGAAAAACAAGAAAATTCCAGAGAATATTTGGAAAAGTACAGGAATATAGTACTACCTTTCAAGAGTGGTCTGTTTATAGTTACTTCCTGTCTAAGAACACAGTTTAGAAAGGGAGAAGAGTTAACTTTACAATAGAGAAACCTGATAAAAACTACTTCAATCTGATGATCAAGGTTAACATCAACAGTGGTATGTCGTGTTGATGGTATGCAACCATGTTATGATTTAATGTGTGGTCTTCTTCTAGAAAAACCCATAACCTCAGTCTAACCATGAGAAGAACATCAGATAAACTCCAGCTGAGGGACAGTCCACAAAATAATTGACCAGTAATTCTGAGGATCATCAAGGATATTCAAACTAAAGAAAGTATGAAAAATTGTCCCACGCTAAGGTAACATAACAATTTAGTGCAGTACAATAACTTGCATGGGATGCTGAACAACTAAATAACATCAGGTTAAAAACTGCATACACATGAATAAAGTATAGATTTTAGTTAATGATAATGTATCAGTATTGGTTCTTTAGTTATGACAAATCTGCCATAAGTAAGAATGAACAATAGAGGAAGCCAGGCATGGTGGCACAGGCCTGTAATCCCAGCACTCTGGGAGCCTGAGGCAGGAGGATCACATGTTTGAGGCTGGCCTGGGCAATTTAGTGAAATCCTATCTAAAATTAAAAGAGGCTGAAGATGTACCTCAGTGTGAAGGCCTTGAGTTCAAGTCCTAGGAAAGAAAGAAAGAAAGAAAGAAAGAGGGAGGGAGGGAGGGAGGAAGGAAGGAAGGAGAGAGAAAGAAAGAGGAAAGAAAAGTGTGTGGAGTATACGGGAACAAACAGGAGTAGATTTTCTTAACCAAATTTTCCTGTTTCACCAAAGGCTTTTACACTTTGATTTTACTCTCTTATTTTTTTAAGGCTAAAATTCTAGTTCACTCACCTCTCTTTGAAATAATGCCTTCAATTGTCTTCTTTCCCCTCATTTCGTCAAATGTCACCTGCTGTCACCTTGATACATCTGACCAGATTATCTGCTGTGTTCTGAGAGGCAGCTTCCCTGGGTAAGGCAAGGGCAGGGCAGATCCCTCAGACTATTGTGTGAAATGGCTCTGTCTTCTTTCTCAGAGTAACAATATAGCTTAAAGTGAAGGAGGATGAGATAGGTTAGGCAAATTTAGGGCTAGTAAGTCTTGTATTACCAGTTTTTAGACAAACACTCCTTAAGCCATTAACATGTTTACATGTAGAGCTGAGCAGGGTTCTGAGCCAAAGTTCTAAGGCAAAAAAGGAGTCAGATGTAAGATAAAGGCAGCGATAACAAGCTTTATCCTGCTTTTAGTTATCCATTGGGCATTTACAGCTCCAGCCTCTTTGAGTTCTGTTGTGGAATGAGACTTGCCTTAGAGTGAGGCCCTAACTGCAGAACCTGAAGCCAGTTTAAGAACGGAGGAAAAAAAGATGTCCTGAGCATTGAGTTAGGGAACAAGAGGAAGGTGAGCCAGAAGGTTCAGAAAATTCTACAAATAAGAAGCTCATTGATTGGTCTTGATTAACCTCTTAGGCTGAGCATCAAGATACCACATATGGAAATTAATCTGGTGTAATATAGGTAAAATTCCAAAGTGAATGCTAGAATAAGATGCAGATTTTCCAGGAAATATTCAAGTATTGGTTTTTCAATTCTAAAGACACCCAAGCGATATCTGACAAGAAGAAAATCTCTTTTTTCAGCTATGTGAAAAGAAGAAACTTTCCCATTTTTTTTATGGGAACAACAGAGCATATAAAAATTTACTTTTGGTTCTGCTGCCTGCCTCGAAAGCGCAAGAACCCGAGTTCGA